GTTCATGGGGTCACGAAGAGTCGGACACGACTTAACGACTGAACAACAACAACAAAGGATATTTATCAGTGTCATCAACAATGGAGTTAATGTATGTTCAGTTCATCCAGAGGAAAGGATCAAAACCAATGTTACCAAAAAAAAAAGAAAAAGGAAAACTACCTGAGAGAATGAGCATTTTTTTTTTAACAGTGGATAGAAGTTGTTAAGAGGTTTTAACCAGAAGTAATAGCTACCGGAAAAAGCTCTAACAGGGGATTTTCAGCTTCAGCAGAGGATCGGACTAAATGATTTTTGAGGTCCATCAATACAATTGTCCAATCCCCATTAGATCGCTATGTAATATCCTGGTCCCTTTGTTTGCTACATGACGCCAAGGCCATTTGCAGTGTTTCAGCTCCAAAGGGAGTTGCTTTCTGTATTTACTGATCAATTACAAACATATAACGTGAAAGGACAGAAACTAAAAATAGATTTTAGGGCAGGTTCGGCTTACCGAGTAGTACCAAAGAGCTCCCATAATGTTTTCCTTTATTGTACCATCAGGCTTTGCCATCTGCAAAAGGAGCAGCAAGATTTTAGTCCTTTCCTAGGCATAGAACAATACATGGGCACAGAACAAGACAATGCTTTTAAAATATTTATCTTCACATTGATCACTTGGAAAGAATGGTGCAGAAATGGAGCCATTCAAATTAAATACATATTTTATTTATATCTAACTGAAGTATCAATCGTTACCCTAAATAACATATCAAAACGTAACCAGAATGCTCTGCTAGTTTAATCCAAGCAGTTTCCTCAACTTTGCTAATTGTTATGACTTTTTTTTTAACCCTTCAAATAAAAAATGTGCTAACTTACATCCTAACGCCATTAGACATCCTTCCTCCATCAAAATAGGATTATAAAAGTAAAACGGGATAAAATGAATAGAGGAAAAACTAGGTAAATTGCATTGTACAAAAATTATTTGCACTTTTAATTTTAAAAAGTTCTTCAATTTCTGTTTCTACTTTCAATCAGTAAAAGAATCAGTGGTTTTCATTCATGGATGGAGTTAAATTTAAGTACTGTAAACAGAAGGTATGGTCTAGTGCAGAGTTTCTCAACTCAACAACTTTAAGATGTGTGGACTTCAACTCCCAGAATTCCCCAGCTGACACATCTTAAAGTTGCAGAGATTGAGAAACACTAGTCTGGTGTAAAGGTTTAGGACTAGGAGCAGGAAGGCCTAGCTTCAAATGCTCTTTCAGCCTTGGAAGTTCTCTGGGTGACTTGATGTCTCTCTGCTCAACATACCCTATGGGTTGCTGTGGGAAAAATAATACAGGGAGTAAATCTAATAAAATAAAAACATAATAATCTAATGAGACTTCTACTATAGCTGTGTTGGATTATCTATTGTTTTCTCATCCTCACAGTCTGATGGGCAGACAGTCCACAAGGAACCTTATTCAAAATCTGCACTTTCTTCTCATGTTCCATCTAAAACTCTGGCTACATAGACTTTAGCATCCAGTCACCTTTCTCCCCAATCTCTGCCCATCTACTTTCTATAGTATTTTGCTTAATGAAGAGATGCTGACATCTCACCATCTTGCACACTGTTGTGATAATGGTTGGTCTAATGTAGCTTTTGAGTTAATGTGGACTTTGGAATTTTTCTTGTGCCCAGCATGGCATTTTGTCTGTCACTAGAGCTATTTGGAAGCATCACTTCAGCATGGGAAGTCAATTAAATTCTTGATATTGAACTCCCTGCTCTTTAAGCACATATAAAAAAAATGGGAGATTCATATATGTACTTTGATACAGAGGAAATCAAATCATTTCTGATGCTTGTTCTCAATCTGTTATTATACAACTGAATAGCAGAAAGGGGGACGCAGTGGCACAGCGGCTTAATGACGCTGAAAGTTGCCGGCCAGAAATGGTCGACGCTTCAGCGGTTCGAGTCCA